GCTTCGCCGCGTTGAGTTCGGTTATATCGCGTTTCCAAGAGAACCTTTCAAAAGTCTGGGATAAAAACTATCCTATGTTCTTTCTCAAGGTCAACTCTATCTCTGTACCGAATTTCATTAAAATCAGTTCAGTGGTTTAGGCGTGAAAGCGTAGCAGACAGACAGACAGAAAGACAGAGTTACTTTCGCATTTATAATATTAGTAGGGATATTGTTTTGTAAACTGTGCGTCACTTGCACTCTAGGTCTATGTTATATATAATTATATATAACATATAAGAAAAGCTTAATTATTATAATACATACATACATTTTCATAAAATAACAATCTTGTTGTAGTAGTAATCTAGACATAATAATCTAGTAGTTTGAAGACAATAGTAAATTTAATTGAAAATTTTAATTCACCACGATGTAAATATAAGATTGTAGGCACATTACCTATTTTTCGGGTATTTCAAACCTCTTCAGCGAAACGAAACTGGTTTTAAATTATTAATTAAAAATATATATATTTGTCACAAAGACAATATTTTGTATTCGTTATTGAACCTAATAAAGAAAGATAAAGGCAAGAATCAGCAAAAAACAAAACAAAATTCGGTCAAGTAGTAAACAATTGTCTCAAAAATACAATGAACTGTACTGCACTGTACTGCACTGTAATGTACAGTCAGGTATTTAAATGGCGAATATAGATATTATTAAGAGTTTTTTTTTGGATGGCATATGTCGTGTCTTGTCAACCGTAGATATTTGTTTAAGGGGCGAACGCATGCATGAAATCGTATTTTACGGCTCGTATCCTGTTCATAGCGCCTTTTGAATGGGCCATTGCTGAGCTCAAGCGAAAATCTTACCCATTTCCTAAGAGCAGATGAGCAGTCATGTTAAGAGCTATCGAATTTGTGGTAAAATTAACTCAGAATTTGCAAAATGTAGGCCAAGGGTCACATAAACGTTATAATAGCATAAAGTCGTAAGCATCTAACTATTTCATATAAGGCACTTCCTATTAGCTATAATTAATATTGAAACAATGAGATTAATGATTTGATTAATGTGATCTATTGGCACTGTATATCAAATTCTGAGTTTCAATTAAACGTGTTGGCAGATGAATATATTTTAAAGTTTGTTTACAACAATATACAGAATAATTGGAAATAGCAGATTGAAATGTGGTTTTGAGGCGACTAAAGGTCCCGCGAGCCACGTTTATTGTCCGACGCATTAATGAACCCTCCTAGCTCGCGATGAATACCGATGAATGTTTTGTTCTGTTTTAAACAACGCACGTCATGTTCTACCTATACCAACTCGGTTTTGTGTTCACTGTTTATATTTTTCAAGCTTGCAAAATGTGAATACATTGATGGTGCTTTATTTTGATGAGATTCTATATCAAGTAGAAAAAAAACAAATATGCATGGCTGTCGAGAGAAAGAATCATTTGTGACATAAGTTTTTATATCCCATTATTAAATACATATATTAAAATAGAAAATGATTGGGTTGTAAGTCTTCTAGAACTAATTGTGAGAATCAAAACATTTCTAATAATGCAAAATTGTTTTTAATACATACTATTTTTATTATTTGATATTTTTTAGTGGAGTGTAAAATTTTAAATTAATTTTGAAAGATGTCAAATGTTAAATTAAATGTTTGTTACTAAATAAATAACAAGTTCATATCATTTAAATTATGCATTACAATTTTATCAAAAATTCAGTCGCTATAAAAATACAGTTACAGTGTAACTGTATTGTTTTGAAACAGAAAATTGTAGTTTTAAATTCAGTTTATATTGGAACGATGTTGTAGAACAAATCAACGGATATGAAAAATCACAACGTCACCGAACATCGAACACCGAACAGGATTGAATAATTTACGATGCACTAACTTCAGCCCCGTTACAAATACCGAGGTACATACATCAAACAGACCCGATGTTACAAGTTCAATATAACTTTTGTGAAACTTATTCAAACGCGTCGGCCGGTGAAAGCTGTTTTTAACTTCTTTCCTTTGGGATCAGTCGTACAAATAAAGAGTTAGTTGACGTGGAAACTTCTTCCGCTTGCCACCGAAAACTTTCCTTAACTTGTGAAAATGATTTTTTATATTTTAAGAATTTCTTTTATACAAAAGGGTTACTGTGTAGTCTAAGGTTTATTATTTTTGAAAAGTATCAGAAGTAGGGAAACGTAATCTTCGATTGGAACATAATGAAAAAGTAAAATAGTGTATATAAGATGTTTAGGATTTAAAGCAGTACTAATAAAAAATCAAAACTGTTTTCATATTATAGGTAATATAAAAGACTCTACATATGAAATTCATTTTTGCGCAATCATTGTTTAACCAACAACCACTTTGGTCCCACGCAACTCGCTAAATAGCGTATGCATTTGCATAAAGACAAATTGGTTCCAACGAACCGTATAAGATCCGCTAGACTTAATCATAGTGTTTAATTTATTTTATTATGCAGTGTACGATCTAAACGAGTGTATGTACTATAAGATAATTATTTAAATAATTAAAATGTGTCTTATGTTAAAAAAGCGTTTTATTGCACGTGTTTATATCCATATCTTCATAAATACTCGTAGGAATACAAGTGTTAATAATTCTCGTCCGTCTCCTAAAAGTTACAGATTCTTGCTCGTGTGCTTAATTTTAACTTCCTAGGGAAAATGCAGTTGCATACGTTGGACTTGTATATTTGTTAAACCTTGAGAAACTTAAGGACATCTATTTTTATTTGAACAAGAAATCCATAGGAATTTTAACTAACTAACTTAAAATAATATGCCTAATATTATTTAATGATATCAATGTCAATCAAAAACTTTATTTTGATGAAAGATATGTAGAATTTTAATACTGCTTATGTAGGTTGTCCGCCATTGAATAGAATTAAATATAAAATTTCTATAAAGTAGAATGTTTCACATTATTACGTTACCATCTGATGTTTTGAAAAGTATGAACTGTAAACAGATAAGAGTATACATAGTACAGTGATTTTGAATAAAGAGCAATGTACACTACGTATGTAGACGAAATCTCTGTCACTCGATGAATATAAAGCAAATAAACTTCAGTCAAGTGCTAGCTTACACTCGTCTTTGAGTGTGCTCGACGCTCCTCACTCTTCAAGTGTTTAGCCGGCTTTATAAACACCCTCGCTGCGATATGAATTGATTTGACGAATTTATTATGTAACGTTATTGACAAACTTCACTTAATCAATATTTGTTAAGTTTTGCTGTATTGGTGTTCATTACTCTGTAATTTATAAAAAAATATAAAGACTTATTTTCTCATATTTGTATCATTTGATTTTATGTAGGAGAGTTAAAGGTATATTAATTATGCTATCGTAGTAAAACTATTAATATCAATGCAATATAAAGTGAAATTCTTCAATGAAAATATCAATTAAAGTTTAAAGAAAATTAATCATCGCTTTGAAAGTAAAGCCGCTTAAACACCTGGTGCCAATTGGGCTAGACAATATTATTTTTAACGAACTTAAATTGTGTAAGTCTATCGCAGTGTAATTCGAACGGAAACTTTTCCAATAACGTAGTTTGACTTTACAACGTGGAAAAGGGATTTATAAATCTTAGTAGTTTATTGAAGTTGTGTATTAATATAAAATGTTCAAATAATATTTATATATATTATTAATATATATATAGGAAAACTATTTAGTCGAAGACTATTTTACCTTAGTTACTGTACTACGTTATTATCAGACTTTAATGTCATTATAGATAAACAAAAAGAAATAATAATTTGTTCCTTATTCTCGAGTTGTGTTTAAACTGACAAAAACAAATTCACACAAAAGGTTTAATTTATTTTCAATAGACAATACATCACTTCTTCTAGATTATCTAAGTAAATTTTGGTCCTTATGATATATTTATCAGAAAAAAACATAACTAAGATACCACGAATAATGCTGTTTAAAAAGTGCTAATTTTTCGTTGTATAATCTTAAAGGCATTTTGACAGAACTCGATTAAATTAAGTTACTACAGCAAAAAGGAGAGTCAACTTCGATTCTCATAGAATTCAAATGAGCTTTTTATTCAAACACAGGAGTGGAGACAGTAAAACAGACGGTTTCACTCCGTTGCGTTACAAAAATGTGGAGGTATATTTTTAAAACGCGATCGTAGACTTTGTAACTGCAAAAGTCTTCCGAATTGAAATGGCCTTCATTACTCTCATAGTATTAAAATTATTTTCTGAAATTTTATTTGAGATAAAGGAATATGGAAATAAAATGCAATGATGGCGTCAGGAAAGTATTATTTATTTAACAATCAATATCTACATCTGTACCTTATAAGCCAAACGGAAAGTCATTACATTCTTGTCATTTTAATTTTTTCTAAGAAGACATTAAAGCTGTTGCCTTACAGCAGACCTATAATTACTAATTTTTATATGCTTATGTATTTGATATGACTTATACTGGTTATAGCAGTATCGCTATACTAAAATACGATATGTACTCTTAAAAATTTAAACAATATTTTAACTACTGTTTTACTAAAGAATATGTTAAGCTTTAAAATTTTACATAGAAATCATCTTAAGTTACTTTAACAATTGATAAAAGTATTATAAATAATGCTATGCTAACAATGAACAATTACTATCTACGTATTTCAATTGAATGATAATGAGAAGAAATTTTGAAAATCTATTTCCTTATATATATATATCATTTTTAAAACTATGTATAATGTAATAGGTTTAATAATTTATTTTTTAATTTTCTAATAAATCTATACAATACTCCAGCGAAGTTACAATAATCCACTAATGATACACAGTTCAGCTCTTATGAAAGCGATATTATATTTACAAAAGTTATATACAACTTACAAAAAGCTACGTATTAAATTGACTATAATTGGCTACAATATTAACGAATGCCTACCGAAACCAAACAATATTGGGTCCAATATTCAATACTGCGTCCAACTTTTCGCTGTAATGGAAATGACAATATTAAAACACCAATAATGTTTAAATGTTATGAGCATGCGTTTTGATATTTTATTTGGTTATTAATTATATAATATTTCCTACTAACTCACCCTTGTAATGCATGTCTCGGTGCATGCTGGGACAAGTCTTGCCTGGGTACTGAAAGAAACGTATAATTTATAAAAACTAGTTTAAACCAGATTTGAATTCAAAGCTAATAAGCCTGTATATTACCTTGCTCAAGTCAAAGTCAATGTTAGTTCTTACTGCCCGGTGGTGTAGTGGTTGAGGGGGTCTGAAATTATTCCCGAGCGGGGCCTTCGGGTGCCTCGCGTCGCCCTGCATCAATCGCCTTAGGGCGTGCAGCTAGAGTTACAAATAAATTTAATTAACCACACAGTTTGTGAAACGCTCTCTAACTTTTCCAACTTGAAAGGTCGCTGCTAAAGTTATGTTTGTGTTGTGTAAATAATATATTTGCTAGCGGTACACGTTACAATATGTTTAATACTTTATAATGAGATTCTGACTAATGATGTAAGTAATGCTGCTCGATAAGAAAGTAATTATATAGCAACTTTGCTAAAGTAACATTTTGCAGGCTTAGGCTTTGGATTATTTTTTCATTACAATTATGAAAGAAAAAATATAGCATCATTCCAGGTAAATTGAAACTTGGTTCGTTTATATGTTTGTTGAGAGTAGTGTCGGTGGAGCCGGCGCTTTGGGATTAACGGTTCCGACTCACGCGAGTCGCTATCTCATTCCATCGCTGTTTACGCTGTATTAAACCATTTGATTGTGATTATAGAGATCGTCTAAAAGTTAACTACTATAGATTTCAAGATTCCATTTATTACTATATCAAAGGTAACGCATTCTTTTACAGTTACGACTTATTTGCACGCCATAACATAACATTTGGCGTCTAATAAATCTTAAGTTATATCAAAGTTTAAATTGTTTCCACTGCTGTTCCGGAACGTGTTATTTTGGTAAATCGGCAAGCGAAAATGCAAGTGATAAACTCGGGGCAGTCCTGAGGGGTCCGACTACCCGCAAGATTGCGGCCAGTTTCCACTAGCACTTAATTTCCCGACCAACAAACGGAAAACATAAACAATGATTTATAATAACGAGCATAGAAAGCGGCACTTTCAGTTTACTTTTAACACGTACATAATTCACGGTGGAGTCTTTGTCTAGAGGCGAGGACGTGAGTTGTTTATTGTAGCGTGAGCACAAATGAAAATGTTATTACTCTGGCCTCGCGGCCACGGCTCAGTTGCCTAACAGAACTAACACAAGCGCACATTACTTCTGTTACTGGAAAATAAATCTATACGTATTCCTTATCTGATTTTATGCTTCCTTACGTTTTATTCATTCTTTTTTGACGTCTTTTATTGCTCTCAATAAAGTTATTGTTTCCTGTTAATTATGTCTATTACTATGCAAATGTGTATAAAGTTCTTGGAAGTCATATATAATTTATTTGATACAAAAAGCATATCATCATGCCATTTTACAGAAATCATTTTAAAGTTATAAGTTAATTTATAGAAGCTTTGATTTGATTGGAGTGTTGACCTAAAAACTTGACATAAAATAGAATTTCAGCGATAAATTTTGTTGCAACATAGTAATAGTATAAGAAACTGATATTCATAGTTATCTTTTTAAAAACGCAATTTTATATATTAATTATGATACTTTAAGAAATGGATATACCTGGATATCATTCTTGATACAGGTACGGTTTATATGTATAAATGAATATCTTACTGATTTTTATTTGAGATAATTTCATTACAATAAATAATATTTATTGGTTGTAAAATTAAACTAGCGCTAGCGGCCATAGCTTATGAATATCACAGTATTACCAGACGTACGCTAACATGAACACTGAACAGGTTTTCACTGATTTACAAGTAGAAACTCGTATAAATGTAGCAGAGTAGAAGTAAATTTTGAGTTACTGGTTTCAAGTATGTAGGGTGGAAAACTCTACCCTATTACACAGCTACTGACGCGTTGCTGACATACTTGTATTTATTTAAATTTAAACATATAATATAAAATCTATAAGCCAAGGAGATGAAAATTATGAGGCAATAAATGATATAATCGTAAATCTCTATAGAATTAGAATATCATGTAAGTAATACAGGCAACAAATATTTAAATGTTATAATGTGTAATGCATATATATTACCTGTTGTTTCGTTATGTAAATGGGTTTGTTAATTATTATCCAGGTAACAGTCTCGTAGCAGGCGGGGGCTGTGGTTGATCCGTCGTACGTCATGTAATAGTCCGTATCGGGCAGAAGACCCCTCACTGACAGCCGGTTGACAGGCATCTCGGCGCCTTAAACATTATTGGATTTATAGAGGCTATAATATAATATTAAATACATATAATAAATGTAACACAAATATATTCTCTTTAAAAAGAGTTATTCTGTATAAATAACTAAACTAATCCATATGTATTATTTTATATTACGATATTATACACAAGATGAATCGATTCATATAGTTATTACCAATCTTCAAATAAATAAACAGTTTATATTCAGTAAGAGCAAGTACTATGTGCCATAAATTATTATTATTCTCAAGGAACTTACCTCCGTACTTTATATTTTCTAACTCCTCTGTCAATATTCTTAACTCGGGGTTCGATAAATCCCCTAGCTGGAAATAGAAGTGAAATATAAAATTGTTAAAAATAATAAACAGCACATTATAAGCATAAGATCAAAATAACAAGAAGATTATCCTTAAGACATTTTTATATTGGTTTATGATGATCCTATCAAATATCAGTAGTACAGAAATATTATTAACGAAAGAAAATGCATCGTTATATAATATACATAAACATATTATTTAATTCTGGCATAGATTAATAACGTCTACTAAATAATTGTATAAAAATTTTAAAATGTTTACTTGTTAGGTTTTATTAAATTATCTTGTATTGGTATTTTTTTTTTTCAAATTTCAAATATGATGGAATGTTAACTTTTAATAAACCAGGAAAATATTTGCTTTTTCATAGCAGATATAGTTTTTTACGCTGTAAGGGTTTTTTATTATACTTTTATCATAATTAAATCCACACCTACTGTAAATATTCAAATATGTAGTTTGAAATTTATACATAGGTAGTATAGTTTTTTATTATTCTTGTTACTGGCGTATTATTGTGTAATCTGATAGTAGTAGTAGTAGTGATATGATGGATTTAATAATATTAAAAATACCCACAATTAAATAAGTAGTTGGTGATGTGGACTATACAAATTTTGTTCGACTTTTAAAAATGTATAACAAAACTTTGGACGTTATTACTGATATTATGGCTAAATAAACCTAAATCTGGAGTAAAATTTATATGAATTCTTAATGTATGTAAACCTTATTCGCTCTCGACTTTATCGCGACAGTATGGACAGGCATATTTATATTCTATCTTATTACTAATAATGATTAAATAAAAAAAAATGATATTAAAAAACTCAAATTTCTTTTTATTATAAGGTTATTAAAAGTCCCGTCGAAATCAGTCCGGATGACCGGAACATATAGAAGGAAAAACACAAAATTAAAAAATATATTCATTTTATATAAAGTGCTTATTTTATTCTATAAATTAGGTACTCCAATTTTATTTATTCGTATGGATATACGAATATTCATTTTCATTTAATGTTTTTTAGGTTAAAGATGAAGAACATCTAAAATTTCATACATCTGTTAAACTTTTATATAATATACATAATGTATAAAGCTTTTGAGAATTACTTTTAACCCATTAAAAATTTGACGAAATTTAACTTGAACATGTTCGTATAGCGTGCAGGTTAGTGGAAATATGAGCGTATTCGCAAACACCCTGGGACAACAGCCGGCCCTAATTAAAGACTTGTAAACGATCAGTTACTTTGCCATAAGAAAACAGTTACGTACACAACGTAAAATCAACAAAATAAATTGTCTTTACTTATGTGATATACCTTCTAAGCTGTATAATATGTCTTTTAGGAATTAAATACTTCTAATACATATACTTGTACGTTCGGTCAAAATGCCTTAGTGATATTAAAAAGAGATTACTGAATACAAGTACTAGAAATCTTAGATGCACACATATATTACATTTAACTCACACAAAAGTAGTGACAACAATAGGTGGTAGAAACCCCACCATTGGAACACTTTGATTATACAATTTAAAAAAAAGAGTTTATGTTTTTTTCCAGTTATTTTTCCTTTGTCAACAAAACTATAGTCAACCATTTCGCTCCTTTAGCTTGGAGAGTACATAAACAAGGGGAACATATTAGAATGACGATAAATACGCTATGCATTATAGTTTAGACAGTTCTTAATTTGAACTAATAGCCCTCGTCCAATGTAATGCCGCGAGGAAAATTCCAATTAAGCTAATTAACGAACACAGTTTGAAAGCTATGACTAGGCGCGGCTCTGTTGATAACGGTCCATCGATAACCATTACCTTAAACAGTGTTTCATTTTACATCGATATTCCATATTTTAATAAGATCTGCTCTATCTTCTATCAAAATGAATTTTAATAATGCTCAGAAAGCAGAACATCTATTACCTTAACGAAAACAGCTTATACAACGAAGATACACTGTAATACTATTCACTTTCTTGACTATTCATTTGTCTGGTGGCTACATTATTTGACTTCACATTTACCATTGTGGTTTATTGAAACAAAAATCTATGATTAATGACTTGGAGTTTCAATGTAATGTTTCATCAATTACTAATGCTTACAATATTTTTATTAAAGAGAAAATGGGTATAGGTTCTTAAAATTTATTCACAAATTTTACTAGTTTTTTTAGTTTTAATCTCATATAAATATATTTCAATAATGAAAACATGATAAAGTACATATAGATTTTTATTAACATATTATTATTTTAGTGAATTAAAATATTTGAGCCAAGTTAATGTTAAAGTTGTACATTTGAAATAAAACTACGTACCTGCAGAAGTAAAGAAATGGAAACAATTCCTTGAGCTTTATGTAAAGCCTCTGAGAAGTTTGAATAAAGCTGTGAATTGAAACCAAATATTTGTATCTGAAACAAAAAGATAGCTTCAAATATTTTAAAAGATGTAAAGTAGGATTAAGAAAAAATAAAATTATTACTCTTTTGTGTTCCTTTATAATAATAATCATATTCTTTATTGCCGATCCATAAAAATTAGGTAAACAATTTATAAACTTCTATCCAATATTCAGATCAAATATAAATTTCTCAAATAATCGATTTAAGATTTTTTTACCAGTAAATAATGTTTAATAAAATAACATGATTTTAATCTAAGAAACGTATTGCGGATACAATGAATCCACAAAAAAAATAAGAACACGATTACGGATTTAACTTAAGAATTTGTCACATAAATAAACTGAAGGCACGCTTGAGTTGGTTCGCAGTCGTTTTCGGGATTACATTAGAGATTTGGGCGCCTCGGGGGTAACACAAGGCTGATGTGTGAAAACATCTGTTACTTGGAAAAACTTTATATAAAAATCACAATGTCGATATGTAGCGTTAATAATTCGTATGTTGAACTATTTAATATAATGATCGAAGATTTTTACGTGTACTCAATATAAATGAAAGTAAAATTTCTCGCATACGTATTTTTTATTACATAGTCCCGACGGCAGAAGGGATGAAACGTCGGTATTATGTTCTTATAAAATAATAAAAAACTGTGAGTGACTGATAAACTTAGTTCCATTCAAGCTATTTAATACACATATTAAGTCATTTAATACATGTCTTCTCTAAATGATATATTTAGTTTAGTTTTGAATATTGCGCTGTGGAATTACCCTGTCATAAAGTGAAATTGATGCAGTGCAACGATACGTCTTCTGTTTATAATTGTCTTATACAAAATATTTGTGTCCATGACTAGCAGATTTAACTTTTGTACATGAACTTTTAGTATGTTCCAAAATATTTAAGGATTTCGTTCTGTGTACTGAAAGATATTTTAAAATTTGATTTAAAGTATCAAGAATGATTGAAATTTAAACTATGTAATGTTGATAAATAGACATATAAAGTTCATTACATAATAATACAAAATTTAGTTATTGGGAGGTTCGTAAATTACCTTTATAATTTAACAAACATACTAACGTCTAAATACATTTTATTAATAACATTTAGTTGTATTATGATTGGTCTAAATGCTTTGCATTTGTGTACTGAAATCAATTAGTGCGCATTTCTCTCTCAGCTTACTTATTGAAACTTAAACGTGACTGCAATAACTATTCAGTGCAATGAATACTAACTAATTAATATTGTTGAAACAGTATATACATAGATGAGATAATTTGTAACATTAAGATCCTACGTTGAAATTATAATTTCAATTTTTGTATCATCACATTAGACGTAATTAGATTATTATATTTGTAAAAATCCTTAATTCCAATTAACACGGACGTATGCTTTTATAATTTCAATTACAAAAATGTACTTTCATTAATGGAATCGAAAATACTAGAAACTTTTTATAATACGCACCTCGGCGGGAAAGGAATAGCCATTGACAGCGTGCTCCGATCCAAATTGATCATGTAATCCATAATGAATATGGATTTCATGAAATTGATATTTATAAGAGAGGGGTCCACCCGTTATGTTTATGTGATGGCGAGTCTCATTTTCCACGGTGAATATTACCGAGTGGCCAGTGTTGCTGATCAGTCCGTTTATCTGGAAAACATTGAATTACTAAGCAATTTATAAAACATGATGAGATCAAAGACTTTTGCGAGCACTTATTTAAATGGAACAGATATTTTCGGATTTACTACGTGATTTTTTATTTTTGACTATAAACTACATACTCCCGACGTTTCGGCAACTTTACAGCAACCGTGATCACGCGCAGACGAGATGTGACGTGTGTCTGTCAGTTGGCCTTGTTATTTTTTCACCTACCGTCATCGATTTCTTAATCTTCTGGCATACCGCTCTGGATGCCGGCAAAATGCGCTTACGGTATCTCGAGGTCGTAGTAGTTTATAGTCAAAAATAAAAAATCGCGTATAAATCCGAAAATATTAGTTTCATTTCAATTTATAAAACAATTTGAAATAATAATAAATATAGAAAGCAAATGCTGTAATGTATGTGAATTAATAAACAATTCACTCCAGAGTACAAACTTACTCTATGCTTATCTATATGTAAAAATCTCAGGTTCGGATCGAAGAGTAACTTCTCGGGCTCTAGGTTGACGGGGGACTGCCTCCGTCCCTTGTTGCATAGCGACCATTCCGGATTGATGAGACCCCAAAACGCCGGACCTAGTAATTATAAAATTAAACCCTCTATTATGCGCTATTATCAAGTTACATTCATTAGTAGATAATAATTCTGAAACCATTTTGTATGTAACTAGAAATATATTAAAAAATTTTAGTGTTGGAGAAAGAATGAGACGAAAATATGTCAAAAAAGTTATTCAATACAATACAGATTTAATACTATACACTGTTTAATCCATAAATTTCTAAGATGACATCACAGATAGAAAATAATTTGAATATCAAGTTATTTCTATCCGAGAAACATATGGATAGGCGATGTAGTATTGAATATGTAGTATTGAATATGATATAATGTTCGCAAACATACATATATGTTCGCAATATAGGTGAGATATGAGGATCGAGCTACATTCCCTGTTAGGGTGCGTTCTTTCAATTATAATTGCTATACTAATTATAATGGTTACGCACACAAAATGGTTTTGATCTCCAGTGTTGAAAAACTACAGCTTTTATTCTTATTTCAAATATTAGCATATAAGAATTTTGGTATTATTTATCATTTTCATTTATATGTCCTGAAGTAAAAATATGTATAAAATAATATCTGATAATTGAAAAAACATACTAACTACATGAGAAAAAGGTGCACTAAATACTGATACTGTTAGTGCATTTTATTAAGTCACAATCATTATTTTGAAAAGAGTTTTTTATTTTTATTTTTAGTATCATCAAATTATTTTCTAGCGATTTGCATCTAAATTTTAAACATAAAAAAATTGCTTTAATGTCATAATATTTGGATAAAATCTTTATTTTATTTGATATTTCAACGAAAGGAAAAAAATAATTAATTATTTTTTTAATAAAATATAGAACATTTTAATTTAGCGACCTACACTTTAGTCATTTTACAATAAAAATTTTCATTGACACAGTCTTAGCTAAATCCATAAAGAAATATGTTTTTATGTTAATAGAATCTCTATTTATGGATTAAAATTAAACAACTGACAAATTTAAACTACGTTTCACGTATCTCAATATAGAGGGAATTGCGCCGAAGCGTCCAAAGTGCTTTAGGTCGCGTTAACGTTTTTATTATTTATGACTTTGAAAATTGCATGAGCCGGCGCAGCGGTTGCGGTTACGCCTACTTTATGACGTTACTTGCAATGATATATATTTTTGGCACACTTCACGTGCAATGTGCACAAAAAGTTCAATTATGTCGACACTTTTACTTTATTATTTTGTGGCATAAGCAAACCTTAATCTATTTTTAAGTATTCATGAATAAGGTCATGACTTTTATAGTAATAGAATCAGAATCTTTTTTATTTTATCAAGTTTTAGTAGCATTGTAGTAATCATTAATATAAGTATTACAAAAAACAGAAACCAAGAGGCGTGTTGCAAATGTATAAAAATAAACCGAAGTTATAACGATTACAAACGAGTTTGAATATTAGTTGGGATAACTACAGCACGCAACATCGAACTTCGGAAGTCGGTCGCTGTTAATGTTCACCCAATACAATTTTAACGCCTCCTATCTCAAGAAACATTTTAATAAAACCAGCTGAATATTAGCTTTACGGTTTGTTTGTCTTAAGAAAACTTCGTTGTAATTAAGGATCAGTATTGTAAATACACGGATAATAATTATTTTGAACACGAATAATTGATTGCTTTTGATGTATCATCAGTGTAAGATAATAAATCATATTTCTAAAAGAATAAAAATAATGCTAAAGACTTCATAAAATTTCTGAAATCGAATATGATAACACACCTCACAATTTTGCGAGTAACACAATATGAATGCAAGATAAATCGCCCGTATAAATTTCATGTCACGTAATGGCAAAAATGTTATCGGAGCAGAGAAATTGATACGGTTGACAAAATATTTTCGGGTTTGCGGTAGGTCATTCGATTGAGATTTAACTGCGATCACGATGGCACGAGTTCTTTAACGTGGCACAAAAATGTATAATCAAGATGTGATTATGATTTTGATTTCGAAGTGTCTGCTAGAGGACTTTTGTCTTTATATATTTTTATCACTGTGTCATTGACGACTGACTGAAAAATATTAAGTCACTTTACGAGTTAAGAATGAAATGAATAATTTTATTTTGATATCTGTCATAAAGCAAGTTATGTATTAGAAAAAAGAAACATATGCTTAACTCAATTATATTAAACATGACTTGTATTTGATTCCTCTTCCTGCATCCGTCTTCTCGCTAAAACTTTGAAGACTTACTTAAGTCCGATGACAACGTAATATTATGATGTTGAACTTTAAGATTTGTGAATCTCGTGAGCCTTTTCCATTTTATTATGCTTTCATAACAAAGTTTCACATAATTTGTATTTTTTGACATTACGGTTATGTTTGTTTGTTTGTTCAGGTAATATATTTACTTACAGTGCATAAAAAGTTTTGTAAGTTATATCAGGGGAGGAATCACAAATAAATTTACGATAGTATATTTTGAATGTAGAATAGTAAAAATATTCTAGCTAAGTTTATGATATAAATTTATGTCATATTTCTATGATGTAATATAATAAACAGGAGCATTTTGGCAATACTGATTATTATCCTTTCGTTTTCGGAGCGTTCGCTTATATTGACTAATGAATAATTCTACTGTGTAATGTATAAATGTTGTGCTCACCTGAAATGCCGTCGTAGGTCCACCATTCCTCCCAGCTGACGCCACTTACGGCTGCAATCAAACCAGACGAAATTAAGTTGCGCTCATTGTGAACATTTGTCTATGTATTCTTTGTATAACATTTACTTCATATGCATACAATATTTAAGGATTTCTTTATACGATACTTTCTATTTAAAGTCTTTATTTTTAATAAAAATACTTTATTATATATAATTTTACTTGGCTTTTGCACCCTCGTTGTCGGAGACAATCCGACCGGTTTTTTTTTATTAATGCTTATTTTAACTTCTTTATTTATTCAAGCACTCGTTATGACTTATTCTTAAATTGACGCAATATCTATGTTACGATTGGAAGGAAAAGGTAGACATGGGAACATTCCCAATAAACCTTATGGGCGACGTCATGTTTATTTAGAATCATAAGATGTTCTGATTTTTCTTTTCATATTCAATACATTTTTATATCAGTCTTAGAGAAACGAAATATGTATTTCTTAAATTGAAATCGGAGATTTCCTTTTGAAACCATAAATGTTTACACATGTATTTTATTTTCATTTATCACTTTATGAATATCGTTATATTGCCTTTTTGAGAGGATGTTTGTTACTTTTAACTCAAAAGTCACTAAACAAATTTTGATGCAAGTTTACAGTTATATGCCTCATACTTTAGAATAACTTATCTCTTTTAACTAATTATACTTCGAAGCTTAAACCTAATTATATCTGCAACAGAAAAAAGACAGCCGTTTCATTAGTCCCATTGAAAATTTATAAGTTTAAATTTAGAAAAGAAAAAAAAGGCACAAAATTTATTGTTTAACTTCTGTAAGTCTCTCTTCAACATTTTACATCAAAAGCACATGCTATTGTAATAAATTAAAAGATTATTATATTTGACAATACCCAAGAATTGCTCATCAAATTCCAAGAAATGTAAACCAATATTTTGGTGTTTTTTTCCTTTAGGGAATCAATTATAATGAAATAAATAAGCCAATGAAGCGAAAAAACGGTCTTTAAAACAAAACGTTTTCCTTGACAGGGCGAGAAAGACACAATTTTTACAAATAGCCTTTTTATTGTTTCACAAAATAAAGGAAAGATACCAAATTAAAATATATTTTTTGGAACGTACCAAAGTTAGAATAATAAGTAAAACATTAGCATTAGCGTAAATTTTAGGAAAGTATTTGCTTGTGTCTAGGACAATTACTCTTATAGTAAAATTGATTCAAGAATATACAAAACTGGTTTCCATAAGTAAGACAGTATTCGTCAAAGAAACTAGAAAAAGACCTTGGAAAATTACAGGTGCAATAATATAAAATAAAAAATATAAAATTATATGTAACCATGGGAATTCTGAATTTTAATTTTCATTACAATTTGGAAGTCATTCCTTAACTTAATTTCTAAAATATTTGACTAGTGAGTTAAATCGTAGTACCATATTTGTAAAAAGTTCATTACGTCCTACGGCAGACGTCTTAAAGGTTTCTTGTCATTGAATAAAACAATCCAGATATCATTCTCAAATACTAACAGTAATTATATCTGATAATGATAATAATATGATTTCAAGAATTTAATTTAAAAAAATGCAGTGTCGTTTAACGTAGACAAATTCAGGTTGCTCAGCACTGATGAAAATATTAAAAATAGAAAATTGTACCTTTAAAATATAAACATTTCAACTTCGCGAGCTCGACCAACTCACGAGAGGCGGATTTGAGAAGATTAAAATTTCTAATTTGAGTGCTCCGGAGTTCTCTTAATTAAGATTATAGAATTATGATACTTATAATATTTCAGAGCAATTAATTCAAAAATACTCAAAATGAAATTCTTATGCTCTAATTATCTGCAAAGTAACGTTTCTTATGACAGGAATCTCCTGTTACTCCTTGTAATTATTTAATATAGCCGTAATTATGATCTTCATTTAAATTGGAGGGTATCTATAAATTTAATCAATGTAAAATTAAATTATGTTGAAATCCGAATAGATTAACGATATTTATAGGAGTACATAACCAAAGCGTGCAGTTGAAATGTATACGAATCTCGAAGTTACTCGATACACGGCTGATTTATGCTTTTAATTTAAATTTTTGCATTCGCCAGGCGAAGTTCGCCACGGACGCGCCGCCTGCATTGCAAATATATGTTGCAGTCGAGTCGGGAGATCGTTTCAAGTTTCGATTCGATACAGCTTGAAAGAACTGGAGACTTTTAATCTTTTAATACTACACAACAAACTTTTTCCTTGTGGAGTACTAGTGCGTTTATTTCCCTTATTAATACTCCATTCCATAATAATTTTGAATGCAAGAAAGTTTATAATTTGAGAGAATTTGTAGCATTATAGAAGAATAAAAAAATTTGTTTTAATTGGATTTCTATACTATAACAGAGATAGTTTTTAACTGAGCTTACAGCCCCACATTCTCGGTGAATACAGCTCAGGGCGGCTTAAAGTAACTTTACCGCCGAAAACAACACCTGGAAAACAACACCTGGGACTACATGGATATCCACATTTCTTATATCGTTGTTACACAGCTGTTTTGCTGTTGAATAATAATTTTTTACTTACGTTTTTTCAATAAGTCGACAATTGTCTATTATCAAATATTGAAATCAGATTTTCAGGAAAAATATGTTTTAGTTTCAATTTGGATAAATTAGTTTTATTTGGATGTAAATATAAGATTTAATTCTTATGCATTGTTGCATTTTGCAAGAAGGATCGTTACGTGAGGAAGAGAAATTCCTATCTGAGACATGCCAGCCGGAGTCTATTTCGTCGTCTTAAATCTTAGCGCGGTCTAGAGGGTAAAGCCGCCATTTATTCCTTTAGAAACCGAGGATTGTTTTTAGTAAACGAATTAACACTGTGATGACAAAGATTGAAATTTTAGAAAAGTGAAGCTAATATGGTCTGATGGATATCTAACCTGAACAACAAAATTTCAGTAGTATTGATGTCGCAATCAAATGTTGAAAACGTGAGCAATTCGCAGCCGACAAACTCCACAAAGAGCTGCGACCATGCATCGGAAATGAATCAGTTTCCGTTTAGACAGACGTAAATGATATATCTTACAAATAAAGTGCAAACGAAAGCGGGCTTTAAGCATTGAGATCAAAAGTTTCATTCAGATTAATTTACAAAACTGGGACGAGAACTTGTGGATACAAAACGAACTTACTACATTTAAAATTCATAGTGTAAGTTTGAGAATTAAAAGTAATTCAATTTGGTTTTAAATTTGTTCGTGTTCTTTGAAATCTGCGTTGAGTATGTGGGAGGCGTTCGATGCATTTGGTATATAAACTGTTCTCTGCAGCGATGGAGGCGCAATAGTACTAATAGAAATTTCATCGATGTATGAAATAAATAAAATCACGTGGAAAATAGCCTATTTCACGGTGAATTGAGTGTTCTTTGCATGGTAACTGCATTCTACCTTGAACCTTCGTCTTTTACGCCCGCATAATAAAACTTTCATTGATGCAAATAAAATTCCTTAGGTATTTAAGACTCTAGGATTTTACACTTTTAATTCATTATTGTTTAATTGACTTCGGTGTCCTGATGCTAAAACTACAGTTGCCATTACTGATTTTCAAGTTTACAAATTTTAAATATATTTTATATTTAATTTATGGTATCAGAGACCTTTTTGAATTCTGTATAAAACGGAGTGGTAAGAAAAATTGCTCGACAAATTACCATGAACATGTTTCACCGCTCTACTTTATCTGTTAGGTTTGAATATTATAGAAACCCCGTTCCAGAATTTAAATATAAATTTGTACATGTATTTTTTCGAATTTTGTAGGATGTTGAAAGATCTTTGAGATTTCATCTCCGAGCAACAACATTTACTTTTTATCTCTTCAATGTATAAGTTTGTAAAGAGGTTTTTGGGCGATTAACAATAATATGGACCAAATAAATTTAACCACAGGCTAACTATAATTAAAAAAAAATGTAATCATTAAAAGTAAAGTTTAGAATGAAAATTAATTATTAAAAAAACCTTTTTTCGAAATACATTGATTAATATGCACACTAGCCTCGAATATATTAAAATGCATAGAAATTATACCACAGAAAAAAAAACATTCATCAGATATAATTTTTACTTAAAAAAAAACCTGACTGAGTGCAATAGATAAATATTTTCATAATTAAAAAATTGGATATGGTAAGAATGATTTTTCTTTATAGAACTCTTTTCAACGACATTCTGGACTGTTGTAAAATCTATATACAAGCCTTTAATACGAAAACGATTTATATTAAAAAAATACCGTGGTGTTCTATGTATTATAATACTACAAACTTCTCATAGGTAACACATTAACGAATAAATTTTTTTAGTCTCATTATAAAGCGTACTCATTGATACAAGAATATTGTTTAATAACGTAATTTAATAACGTACCGTTATAATTAACGGTGGGAGATAATATTTGCATCTAACAAAAATATTATAATCTTAACAGTATATCAAGCACTTATTCAAATATTTAACAACTAACGACTTACAGTGAATTTAATTAAAAACAGTGCCGTTTGAATGACGTTTCAGTGTTTTAATAACTAGAAATTGTAACAAATTTCACTGAAACAATGTTTAGTGAAGTAAAGTTAAATTAAAGTCGTATGCGGATTTGGCGGTCCGCCTGAGCTTAAGATCGGCCTCGCCACCTGCTCCCGAGCCCCGACTTACCATTGAAAATACAATTTGCAGCGCCTCTTGTTACTTAAGTTTGCTTTTATGCAATTTGTTTTTGTTTAAAACATGCAATCCGCGGATTTCTTATAATTTGCCAGATGATGTTACGTTAAAAATAGAACTTATACTTACAAACTTTATATTTCACTTATTTCACTTAACACGTCTTCTTAGTTTTCGTATTTACTTATGTTATTGAAATTCATTTAAAACGTAGACTTTTTTTGTTTGTGTTTCTAGTAGTCAAGCCAGAAATTCAAGGAAACCCAGTTCTTTTCTGGGACTCTCATAACTTGTATAAAATTTGTATGGTAAATCTCATAGGAGTTTAATATAGAATCAAAATTAAAAAAAACATTATTTTGACATTATACATATATTTACTCGAATAACAATTTGAATACCTACCAGTATGAAAATATATTCATCCGAAATAACGAACTATGTATTATAGCCTGCTAATAAATAAGTGCTTGTACGTTATAAAATTTTAAATATTTTTATAAGACTAGAGTCGAAGTAAAAAAAGAATTAATATTTCACATTGCTATTCAGCTTTTTAACACGAAGATTAGTTTTATCAAATCCAAGTTACAAAATAATAAGCTCTTTAGTTGTGCAGCAAATCAAGGAGGTACAACAAGGTCATAAAACACGTCACAGGAACGAGCCTATATATAATCAGCTTAGTGATAAATTGGTAAACAGCACGCGAACGACACAGCTGCTTCCGTCCTCACTTGACATTGTTTCATATTTTGCTAGCACTGTCTTGAACCGATGAATACTGCATTAAAAACAGAATTCACTAGAAGCCTACAAACAGTAACTTCTGTTTCAATAAATTCCATTTTATTTGAAAATTATTGGTAAATATGATGGTTAAACGCACAAAAATGAAATAAAAATTCTATACAAATAATTGTACTATTGATATCATATATTAATAGTATTTTTAAAAGAAACAATTTATTTTATACTCAAAGACAAGGTATAAAGAATAAGGCCGCTTACAATTATTTGTTTTATGGATTTAGATTTACAAATGTTGTTGTATATATTTTATATATTTTTGGAACATATAACTAATGGAGAAATTACTTCATAATTGAATTTATATAATTATTAAAAAGAATTATCATAGAGTCTCAGATAAATAAGTCAAATTGCTATTCGGCATACTTGGATCACTTGATAAGATGATATGTATCTACTTCATTACTAATCTGCTGTAAATTTGCTATTTCAATATTAAGTAATCAGAAATGATCATTGACGTAAAGTTTTATATTACATGTAATGTTATAAATATTTATAACTAATTTAAACATGGATCAAGAACACCTTCACCGTCCAAGTATTATTTTCACAACCACTTTTTGAATCTTAGTTGTTTATAGATGTCATATGTATTTTGAATATTTAATATATGTATTTATTAGTAGTACTGAAATAACTTCTTAAAGAGGATTCATGTATATATTAGTAGCATTTTGTATTCATTATTTTTAACACCTGATTAGATAATAATCATTGTTAATTCGTTTATTCCCTTAGAGTATTAATTATCTGTATGAATTATACAGTTTTAAACAACAAAAGTTGTAGAATTTTCAGTGCCATAACCACAATGTTAAAAATCAAAGCTTGTATATAACCAAAATCAGTCGTCGATAGACGGTTTTTTATAATTAAATATTAAAATAACATAGTCGTATTGTATTATAATTTTTTCGTCCAAAAAAATATTACAACCTTTTTTCATGCACTATATTTGAATATATTCATAACCACAGAACTAATGATAAATGTAAATTTTATTAAGCTGCGTATACCGCGCATAATCTGAATTAGTTAAGAAAACCTCATTTTTTTTAAATTTTTGGTTGGTAAAAAAACACATCTATTTCGCTTAATTTTCTATATAATATTTTCCCGAAATATTATATATTTTGTTAAAATATTTAATAATATTATACAAATACTTTAAAACGAATCTTAAATGGAACTAGTCACTATCATTAATATTTTAAATCTATCCGCTCGAAAATAATCATTGGAGTGAGATCCAAATATCTCCTTGTTGTTACGATATTACAATTCGGTACAAACGAGACCAACTAAAAAGAATAAAACTGAGAAAGCGCCATGGAACAGAAGTAAAATTAAAAGATGAAAACTAAAAAGCAAGCATTACGAATTTCACAATGAAAAATAAATTGTATTATTTTTATTTATAAATATATGTAGATTGTTAATATTAATAAGATGTTAGTTTCAGATTGTATCCTCAGGTGATAATTTTTTAAAAGTTTTTTGTGAGTTTAGTTTTTGTGAAAGTATACGTTATTGATTCCGCTCATATAGCTTAAGATAAGTTTTAATTCTCTTACCTGTGAAGGACAGTAATAGTTGCAGAACCGCCGACGCTATTGCCGCTCCAAGGAGGCTATGCATTGTCTATGACATATTTTTTGACTGCTGTTCTTGAAATTATCTATGGTGTTAAGGCAGTTACACATTTGTTTCCTTTAAGTTTTTTCATCATATGAAACCAATCATACTATAATTATTCTGGTAACAATTGTTGCCATCTTTGCTTTTTATTAGTCATTGTTTTACCTGAAACAAGTAAATTATGGTTAGATATTATATAACAATGCAAAACATAATAAGTAATATTTAATGTTTTATTAATATATTAATCTTATCAACGCCTTTAAAATTTACCATACACCTCCGATAATCTTTTTGTTGTGTTTGTGAAATAAATATGTTATTATACAAAGTTATACACATTGATTACATTATTACAAATTGATTGTAAAGAAAAAAATTATACTTATTTCGACTTAGTTAGCGTACGCTTACATATGTATAAAAACATAAAATTGACAAGTTTTCATTCATTTCTTAATATACGAATACAGTCCCGACGGCTACCTTATAAAAACTTCGTCTATTTACGAAATAATAATGTCATTTTATCTTAATACTAGAGATTAAAAAGTTAACCATTTATCAGCTTTGAAATTGGATTGCGGAAACATAGCTCCATATTTCACAAATTAACTAACTTAAACAATTTCATGGTCTTTGAATGAATCAAAATTTCAATCCAAGAATAAGAAACGCTACAGAGCAAATGTACTCATACTTTAAAAACCTTTGCTTTCAACCCGAAACAAAAATACAATTTTGTGTAAATACCTACATTTATTTTATATACATATCTATTGGTTTATTTCTTTCTTTAATAGAAACAATACTTTTTATAGAAAAATTTTATTACATAAAAAAAAAATAGATCTTAATGTGTAAAATTGATGTTTAACTGTAAATAATAATTATGGCCCCACTCTAAACGTTAAACGCTCACCTCTACCATCCATGCTCCTCTTTGTACTGAACCAAGTTTGAGAAGAAGCTACTAGAGCTGCCTTAGAAGTACGTTCCAAGATTGAATTGATATTAGTTTTGGGCAGTCCCAAGTATTTTAGTAGGTTATATAGAGATTTAACAGTTACATCTTTCGCTCCTACCTCTACCGCGTACAAATCCACAACGAACATATTTCGAGTGAGTTCTTTAGTGAGCTCGTAATATTTATTGACCTTGATAGTATGGCCTTTGAGGATGTTTGGTTCCCAAGGAACCGTAAGCTCTATCCCCACAACGCGCTTTAAAATTCGCGAATACATAAATATGTCTGGTATGGGGGCCGACACACAAATATCCTTTGGGATTTAGTATTGGTTCTCATAATTGTATTAAGTAATTAGTTTTTATATTGAATTATGAGGTACTTTTTAAAGTACTCATGTATGTTTTAAGGAATCTATATAAAAATCTTCTTCTTGAACTATTTTTTATCAGATAAAATATAATTTCGCTCCTTCGGTATTTTAATATTGTTAATAAATTCATGATAAAGATAAAGATATTTAACGAAGGTAATGATTAAATCCTTTAAAGATTGATGTCCTTTTATTAATAAATAAAACTGTTTATTTGTATGAATGTTTTTCACTCGCCGTCGCCATACGTACGCCGGCGAAATTGGTGCAGCGTTCATAAATCCTTCATAGCCTTTATAAATTAATGCAGGAAGCAATCCAATACATGTTGCCATTTGAAAAAATTGTTTTAAAGTTCTGAAGTACAATTTTTTTATCCGTAGTTTTTAAAGAATGATATCAAATATTTGAGTAACCATACTATACAGTAGAAACTCGATTAAGCGAACTAATCGTTGTCGATAGGCATTCAGATAATCGAAAATCCGGATAATTGAATGTATGAAGAAAGGCGGATTTTATATGTATATGTAGTACATAATATTATATGTTTTTTTTAAATAACAAATGCATATAAACGATAATAATTAATTAATATTTATTAATAAATAATTAAAGGATACATTTTCTTCGATTACATTAAGATACTCGTACATATACTTACTTGTATGTACTAAAAACTGCAGATTTAATCATGAAATAAATTAGAATATATATTTGGTAATTTGCAATTGGTAACCATGAATTAAAATAATAAGTTCCATTTTGCTTTAAATATTTGGTAATTGTCATTTGACGTACGCCACTCTCAACAACACAACTCTCTTACGCTTTGACATTTTTTCTTGTCGGGACTTGCCCGTAGTCCGGATAATCGCGAATCCGTATAACTGAGGGCCGTATAATCGAGTTTCAACTGTATATATATTTATCTGAAAGAAGATCGAAATAAGAGTTTTAAATAATATTAAGTCATCATAAGTAAGATCATAAAGAATATTAAGTCATCAATAACAATCCAACGATGTGATTTCTTTATAAATCAGGTAAGTAGCTATTATTATTTCAGAATAAGAATGTTCACCTTAGTATGTTTAGTATAAACACTATAATTTTAATCCACTTTTTAAAACGTCTACATAAGTTGCAAGCGTCTCGCTGATAATGGAAATTTGATAGGTGCTGGGTAACAGTTGGATGTAAGGACCCAGGTTCGTATCGTATAAATAAGCGTTAAGTTGTGTGGTATCACGCGAACCGGTCATTAACCCTGCTTCACGGCTTACTAATGGCAAGTGAGGGTGTCAAAACGACCGCAACGAAACCGCCACCTGAAAACGATGGCTCAGCTAAGATTATAATTCAAGTGAAAATATTGATATGCCTTTAACCCTTAAATTTATGGTGACTATAATAAAGATTCATATAAAGCCCAGTATGCGATGCAAAAATTCTTGACTTCAATGATCATATTTTAAATGAAAATTCATGTACTGTAGCATTAAATATCTGAACTTCAGTGTCTCTATGAAATAATTTTGAAAGACAGTCTAATTCTGATTAGATTATCACCAATTTACTTTCAAAATGTTAAAATTACATTAAATATAATATTAATCTTAAAGATTACAATCATCTTTTATATAATGAATGAAATTATTCCTCAGAACTTTTTAGAACAATATTGACGATATCATTTAATGACAGAAATATTAAATATATGTATTTAGAACTATTTTGGAGAATTCATTGAGCTATCAATAATCCATAAAGGCTTTTAAGAAATAAATTCAACATCGGAGATAATAATATTTAAATAAATATATAAGACATCGTTCACCATGAATATGATTCTGGTAAATGTGGATTGACTTACGGATACTTGCTTCTTTTTCTAAGATTAACTTTTATTAGGAATATCACGAATCTTATCTTTAATATCCGAAATATTTTAATACGAACTTCCTCTTCTACGAATATTTGATGTATATTATTTCCTTGAACGTATTAAAGCCGATTTGGTGGGAAAAGTGCAGTTCGCAGAAAACCAGTTAAAAACTGGTTTTCAGTAAAACTGGTATTACTTTATATTTTTTCAGACACTTGTTACGTAGTTGAAAATTTATACTTTTCGTCTTAAAACCGTTTCTAACTATTAGTCCTATATCATCTGACAAAAATCCAATACCTAAAAATAGTCTTATAACTTTTGTCAGTATTTTTTTCAGGAACAGCTCGTGAATTAAAGAATTGAAATCATTATTTATATTGTTAATTAACGTATAATGGTGAAAAATGTTATACACGTGAAATTCCAAACCATTTGCATTGTTTAAATATAAAATTGTCAAAATATTTTTATTAATAAATCAAACATTTTTGAATTTCAATTCAATAGTGCTGTTTTATATTCCGTGAAGATAACCCTCGCGGCTAAAAAAGAAAAATCCTTTAAATTCCATTTTGCCTCTTGGTCAAATTCGGGAAATAAATGAAAACTTCCCTATAAATAGTTATATTTTTGCTTTGACACAGAGACTTGCTTTTTGCAACATTGATATTCTGGAAGTTTTTTTGAGGTTTAGGAATCACGAGATTTAAAAATCTGTAAAAGAATGATAGATATGAGTTCGAAATAATAACGAATAGTTTGGTAACAAAATTTTATATTAAATTTTTACTTTTATAAAATGTTCATTTTATTTTTCTAGTATTTTCGATATCCCCATTTTCTCATTTCATTATTGAATACATATATAAATTATAATTTTCTTGTTAAATTTAAAATACAAGATTTTATAACAATATGATGGATATAAATAAATAGTAAGTTTTTTAATATTTAGTCTGTAATTATAATAAACCGAAGTATTTATTTCAACAGAATTTATTCTGTATTTGAATTTTTATAAATAAAAAAAACTTTGTGACAGCTCAAAAAACTATTTTTTTTTAAATATCAAATAATTTTAAATATACAAAAGTACAAAGTTTATTAGTAAAATTTATTTTGAGTTTTTAATAACACGAATATATATTGGTATATACAATAAAATTTAATTATAATAAAGAAATTAAAGATTACTTTATAATCCATTTTCACCTCAGTTTTCATTCATTAGAACTAAATAATTACTCTGTAAGCGTAAAAATGTCAATAACATTATGTTAAAAGCCGTGAATAGAATGAGAGCAGAGCTGAGAGGAATGTCAGGGAGATATTTTTGAAAAGGTCCGCTTTTTCAAAGCCACGTCGTCGTCGTATTGAATGCGTTTTAATGAAAAAACATTCGCCGATTCGCAACAGTCAAGGGAATTAAATCCTCGGAACGGCGTTCACGATTCCAAATGCATCGGTTGGAATTTTCATTTGGCCGAATATTATTTCCGCAGGGAATGGATGCTGTTTAAAATGATGGAGGCTATTGATAATTTTAGGATCAGTCCCGAATATTACAGATAGTTATTTCTGAAATTTAGAGCCACTTATTTACGACACTAGTATATATGTATAGTTAGTTACATATTACATTTAGTTAGTTATGTATTTATTATAAAAGTTTTTGGAAGTATATGACACTTAAATATTTTGTATTTTTTTTGTTATCGTTAAAAATATTATTAATTATTTAACTCTTTGTCTTTATTATTTAACTCTTG